TAAAAAAGAATCCAAAACAACCCCCCCCAATTAGACTGGTCCCTCCCCCAGATGGCTGCTGCTATCTCATTTTCTCCACTGCTTGTTGAAGATTGTGGACTCATGCTGCTTGCCATGCTTTCTCTGGGTGGTGTCCTGACAAGGTGCTTTGGCTCAGATGGGCTCGTGCTTTCTTCTGGTACCTTTCTCTTCCTGCTGCTGCCTTGCTTAGGGCTCTCATCTCCACCTCCTACTCTCATCTTGAAGCTTGGTGGATGCTTTTGGGCCTGCCCAAACCACAAAACAAAAAGTGTTCTCAGATGGTCGATTTCTTATTAAATCCTTTGCTAAAAAATCAAGTTTAGAAGGTTTCAAAAGGTACCCCACATTAGCCCCTTACACGCCCAATTAATAAACCCCCCCTAATTAGTGCGGTCCATCGGCCCCACCCCCCAAAAAAGACAACCAGGCCTTCTCAATACTAAATCAAATGGAAACTCAATTCCAGATCTCAAAAGGAAGCTCCAGCAATACTAAATCAAATGGAAACTCAATTGCAGATCTCAAAAGGAAGCTCCAGCAATACTAAATCAAATGGAAACTCAATTCCAGATCTCAAAAGGAAGCCCCAGCAATACTAAATCAAATGGAAACTCAATTCCAGATCTCAAAAGGAAGCCCCAGCAATACTAAATCAAATGGAAACTCAATTCCAGATCTCAAAAGGAAGCCCCAGCAATACTAAATCAAATGGAAACTCCATTCCAGATCTCAAAGGGAAGCCCCAGCAATACTAAATCAAATGGAAACTCAATTCCAGATCTCAAAAGGGAGCTCCAGCAATACTAAATCAAATGGAAACTCAATTCCAGATCTGAAAAGGAAGCCCCAGCAATACTAAATCAAATGGAAACTCAATTCCAGATCTCAAAAGGGTGCTCCAGCAATACTGAATCAAATGGAAACTCAATTCCAGATCTCAAAAGGAAGCCCCAGCAATACTAAACAAATGGAAACTCAATTCCAGATCTCAAGCTCCAGCAATACTGAATCAAATGGAAACTCAATTCCAGATCAAAAAGGAAGCTCCAGCAATACTAAATCAAATGGAAACTCAATTCCAGATGTCAAAAAGGAAGCTCCAGCAATACTAAATCAAATGGAAACTCAATTCCAGATCTCAAAAAGGAAGCTCCAGCAAAACTAAAAATGGAAACTCAATTCCAGATCTCAAAAAGGAAGCTCCAGCAATACTAAATCAAATGGGAAACTCAATTCCAGATCTCAAAAAGGAAGCTCCAGCAATACTAAAAATGGGAATGGAAACTCAATTCCAGATCTCAAAAAGGAATGGCTCCAGCAATACTAAATCAAATGGAAACTCAATTCCAGATCTCAAAAAGGAAGCTCCAGCAATACTAAATCAAATGGAAACTCAATTCCAGATCTCAAAAAGGAAGCTCCAGCAATACTAAATCAAATGGAAACTCAATTCCAGATCTCAAAAAGGAAGCTCCAGCAATACTGAATCAAATGGAAACTCAATTCCAGATTGTTTAGGGTGGGAGCCAAAAACCTTTCAAAATCTTGCCCCCCCAAAAGCTTCTGACCTTCAACGGGGGGGGGGTTACAATACGGGGTCAACATTAAATGGAAACATGGACTAAAACCTGCGGTTCGCTGGTGGTTTTGTTTTGATCCATACCCAGTTAAGCTCACTGTGCCCAAGCGGCAACCACCATCACGTTCCGCTCCGTTGCCGTACACCTCGCGCTGCGACCGCAGGAACGCCCCGGATTTCTTTGAAGGTGTACACCTGGAGATTCCTGCTGTCCCTCAGAGAGAGGAGAGAGGAGAGAGGAGAGAGGAGAGAGGAGAGAGGAGAGAGGAGAGAGGAGAGAGGAGAGAGGAGAGGGAGAGGGAGAGGGAGAGCGAGAGGGAGAGGGAGAGGGAGAGGGAGAGGGAGAGGGAGAGGGAGAGAGAGAGAGAGAGAGAGAGAGAGAGAAGA